TACAACTGGGGTCTTCTGTATGCAAAGCATGCATTTTACCACGCAGCCACAACCCCCTCACCTTTCCCTTTGCACTAATATTTGCTTCACTTGTTGCAGACTACTCTGTTTGCTATGGGTTTGTTTCACAGTATATCTATATGTTGCATGTGCACTGAAGAGTCACAGTGATCAAATGAATGACACACATGAATTAGGGTGAATGCAGAGAAAGTCAGACCTCCGGTAACTTTAAGAGTCGTGTAAAAGGAATATGAAGGATGCTGATAGGCAAGAGAACCAAAGAATAAATGAAGCAGGCAATTCAGCAGCCATGCCTTGTTTCAGTGCCTAAACATAGAGACATCATTCCTGAGCAAGGAGTTGGCACCTGAACCTCCTAGGGCAAATCAAACATCCAATACCTACTCACAGAACGCTAGGGTCTAACTCAAGTATCCATTTTTCCTTGATGTAATCTTTACTCCATAAAGCTAAAAGAATATATCAACAATATTTTTTATAATTTTTTAAAATGGCATTTTGGGCATTTCCTTCTGTGGATAAGGTTCTGGAATATGTGTTGCCTGATTGTCACTGGCCTGTACTTCTCTCTTGAGAAATGCTTTTTAGTTTGTTTTGTTATGAGCATCAAGTGAATCTGAATAAAGTGATTATTTTTTACTTGTTTGCAAAGACTGGAGAAACGTGTGGTGTAAATTAATGAGTCTGAATTTCTTATTAGAAAGGAAAGTTTATCTGTAAATGGGCTTGTTGAATTTTCTAAAACGCATCTAATCAGAAGACAAAGGCAGCATTATTATGAGAAAATTGCAACATGTGGATTTTCTTCCATAACTGCATTCCTTCTGGGGGAATTCATCTGCATGTAAACTCATTAAGCATCTCAGGCTGATATTTCAGATCTTGGAATCCAATTAGGTGCACCAGTGACACAGTGTCTTCTGGAGCTGGAGAGCCTCTTTGTAATAAAATGAAAGCACAGAGTAAATAACAGAGGAATGATTTTATGACATCACCCAGAAATGCTTGTAAGGGGAAAAATACTCTTTCTGCTCCCTTCTTTGTTCATATTGCTATGTTAAAGACTCATTCCAGTACAGCTCTTATGGAAATAAGTATCCAAAGTCCAGAAATTGTTGTTCAGGTCACATACAGAGATGAGTGAATCAACCTGTGTTCTGTTGTTGTCTGACTTGGCTGGATCTGGGCTAAATTTCTGATCGACAGAAGGGAACATTCCTGCTCCCCTCTCTCCCACTGCAGCCTACTAATCTCCACACATGCTGCTCCTGGAAGACAGGGAATCCTGAAGAACGACATGGGTGGTCTGCTCTGGGAAGGGGGAATCAGTGGGAAGCGTTTCTCCACTTCCCTTTGTGGAAAATTTAGTCTGGATCCAACCCATCACCTGTGGATATGTAGCCCATTTCGCTGGCCTTCTCTTCAAATTCTGGGTCTCCCAACCACTATACCACACTGCATCTCTAGCTTTTGCTTGTAGGACCTTCTTCAGGACAGAAGAGAAGAGAGGGAGGAAATACAGGCCTCTCAGATATCTTGCTGTTCTTCAGGTTGTACAGCCTACAAGCTTCTGGGCATTTGGGCACTGCATTGAGATATATGTATATAACCACATCTCAAAATATGTATTAAATTGTTTATTTTGTCAGTGGTAACATAAGGAGCGGGGGGAGTGCCACTGGGTTCATTCAGTCCTAAGAAATGGATCAAATCCAGTAAAGAAATTCAGGAAAGCTAAATGTAGGACACACAAACACATGAAGCTGCCTTATATTGAGTCAGCTCATTGGTCTATCAAGGTCAATGTTGTCTGTTGTGACTGGCAGCACTCTCCAGGGTCTCAGGGAGAGGTCTCTCACATCACCTATGGCCTGATCCTTTTAACTGCCGGTAGTACAAGGACTGAACCTGGGAGCTTCCACATGCAAAGCAGATGCTCTACCACTTGATAACCCCCTCACCCCAATGCATCAGTTATGCATGGCAGCCAACACAGGAATGCAGTAAACCTCCAGACTTTACTTCCTGCCCAGGACTGCAGAAGCAATTTATCAAGTGCTTTGGAGCCTACAAAACAGGGAATCAACTTGAATCAGAGAGTTATAAGTGGGGGTAGGGTGCTGAGTCCAAAACAGAGGATAGATCCTTGATTTGTTTTAATGTTATCATGCCTTTTAGCCCCTCCACCCCAAAATCTACCAAAGAGGCTACCAATGTTTAAAAACCTAATGGTGCCAAGTACTTAGGAAATTAAAATGTTTCTATGTATATCTTATATCTCTACTGCTATATCAGGTAATAATGATACAAGACACAAAGCTGAAAGAATGATTCTCCAAGAGGTATGCATTATCAGTATAGTTCATAGCTCTCTGGCATCATGTTTACACTATGAATTACAACAAACCATTTGCAAACTGGTTGAACCATAATGACTCCCAACCAAGGAACTCTGGTGAGCATCTTCTGACACAGGGAATTTTGGCAGCTTCTCTTTGTTGCTGGCTTTTAATATTTTGAATTCACTGTGTTTTAATTGTATTGTTCTCTGTTTTAAAGGTATCTTGGGTGTTCATATGAAAAGACAGGTAATCATTTTCCTCCTCAGGCTCAAATATGTATTATACATTATTCATAACAAAATTAATAAGCTCTAGAAAGGCATATTTAAAATATTTACAACATTTAATAAACAATCAAACATGAGACACAGTAAGCAGATTATTTTTTTTTTCCATGGCAGGTATTAAATTTTAAAGAGAACTTCTGGTTCTCTGACTATCCCCCGTGTCTTAGATGACTGAAGCTATGCAGAGGCACTCCAAAACTACAATAATCATGGGGAGCATCCTTGATGTCCCCTGGAAATCCATGTCTCTGTGACTCACTTAAGATGCTGATATGTACATTTAAATAATAAATTGTGCCTCCCCCCAAAAGAAAAAATTATAGCCAAAAGGAGGGGGGGAAGCTAAACAGGGTTATACCCTTCTAAGCCCACTGACTTCATGGCAAGTACAAAATATAAGTCCTGTTTCAGGGCTCAAAGTCTCTGACCAAATTTCAAGTGAAGCCCTCCTTGTAGGGTGCAATCCAAACTTTAGGCTTATCGACAATAGGATCCATTTGCATGTTACCTCTCCTACTTCAGACTTGGAGGCTTAGCACTAAATTGTCGGGAGGAAGGGAACCTTCATCTGGAGACTGTCTCTATGGAGATTTGAAAAGGTGCAATCTTAGCAATGGATGCCTTAAACACTTAACTGGCCCTAAGGGAAATCAGTGTATTGTGTATAAGCAACAAGCTAATGCTTTATGTTCTATTTTCATTTCAAAAGCATAGTTATGCAACAGAACAAACGAACAAGCAAGGCTTCTATCTCTTCTGCCTGTGTTTACTTCATAATACCTGGTCAAGGATTTCATATCCCTTTTTTTTTTACTCAGATCATGTGATGCCCACTCCTTTGTACACCTAAGCCAAACTCCTTTGTGTGAATTCAATTGAAGACTCTTGCTCAAATGGGTTTAGAAGAGTGTAACTGCTTGGAATAGCATTGCTACTTAACTTACTTTAGTGGGATGGGGGCCTTTGTTCTACTTTCAAATCAACCCCCAGTCTCCAGGATTCAATGGTCCCCATTTTGCAAATGCTGGTCTTCCAAAGGACATCTTCTTCCAAAGGACATATGTTAATTCTGATCGTCTTTTTATTAGTTAGGCAAGTGCCTGTAGCTATCTAGCTGCAGTAAAGTTGAATCCCATTTCAAAACATCATAAATAAAAAGTCTTATCTCTGTACCAACATAATAAAATACACAGCACTGATTGTCTGGAAGGAATTCACATATATATGCTCTTCACTCAGGGTCTACACTTTCAATGACTTGCAGTCATACTGAGCACGTGAACGTCCTCCACTGCAATGTAAAGGTGATGTAAGACGTCTGCTTATAGTGTTTGCTGAAACTGCAGTGGTCATTTCACACATGCAAGTTGTGATAACTTGTAATACATACGCATGAGAACTCATACTAACTTGTTAGTATATATGGCTGTAACAAATAATCACTCACAAAAAACTTCTTGATTGAAAAGACAATTTTTTAAAAAATTGCAGCCACAGTGTTCCCCATACTCCTTGCTTCTTATTCGGCACCATGTTATCTTCTCCCTTAATGAATGATCCTAGACACTCTGTGAGTGAAATAGTTTGGTCAGCTTGGCTAAACAATAATATGAAGCCACAATTTGTTTGATAAGTTACCTGGTCAGTCCAGGGATATGTTCCCACTCTTTCCATACAGTACTGCAAGGATGGACAATGAGACCACAGTAGCACAGTGTAGGTACGGCAAGAGTCAACTTGTCCCTAGGAAACCACAGCTATGTTATCTCTCCTTCCATGCTGCACTACCTACCCTCTCAACATCATCCCACAAAGAAAGGAAGTGTCACCCAGTTGCGTGGGCAATATAGCCACATGGTTCACTGCATACAATGGACAAATGTGTCATCCCTGTTTGCAGCCTACCCTACCCCAAAGCTTTACCCTAGGGAGGGGGGTAGCTTTGCATCTAGGAACAGGTCCAGTTTTGAGGATGAGAAATATTTTAGTTGAGTCCTGTTCTTAGCTCATTAAACATCTGAAGGCTTAGGAAAAATGCAGGGAACAAGGTACTCTTTTACTAGCTCATGCTGTTACAACTTCACAAAGCATACAGATCTGACCATTCCTTGGAAAACACAGAATGATTAAGAACAATCCGGATCTGCTAGGAGTAATACATAAGGCATATCACGGCATGTGATTAAGAGCTTATTTATGGCAGTGCATGTTTGCTTTTGCTAAGGGAAAGGGTAGAATTTGCCTGTGAGCCTAAGATCCTGCTGATGTTAACGGAACCATGGAAAGGACCTCATGTTCAGTGTGTGTTAACTTATTTTGAAAACCAAAGCCATTCCAGGCATCTTACCTTTCTTCCCCCTGTGTTTATGCGGAGAGGGGTAAGGAAAGGGTCGAAAATCATATGGCTGGTTTCTATATTGACAGGTGATTGCCGTTTCCCAACAGAGCAAAGATTCCAGGCTGAATTCACCAAGCCCCAAAAGGAAGGAACTGCAATCAAAAGAGAAAGAAGAAAATATTTCAAGAAGGATATGTGGGAAGGGGGGGGGGGAGAGAGACACCAAGCAACCTGTCCACTTTTATTGTAGGTCATGTAGACAGTTTCGGAGGACACAAAAGACCATTTAATGTAAAGAAAGAATAACAATACAGATTCCCTTTAAAGGTTGCATTAGATCCATAGCTATTTGCTTGCATGAATATTCCAGGAATTATGTCCAGTCTTCCATTTTCCAGGATGCATGTAATCACCACAGAGACTATGGCCTGAAACTTTAATCAAGAAGAGCTTTGGGGTAATGCAATGTAACTTAACAGAATATGATTTCCTCTAGAGAAAGGGTCAAACTAAATGTCATGGCAGGCACGAGTCCTTCCTGTGACCACCAATTGAATGTTCTGGATCAGGGCCTCAAAGTAATTTTTAAAGAACTAAAACTGCTTCTATAATGGTGTCAGTGGCCATAGGATGCACCTGCGGCTGCCATCACATTTGGTCTGGCTCAAAGATAGTACTGTACAGTGCTGTTTTTGTTTTTTTTAAAAACGTGTAAACAGTAAAAAAGTAAGGCACATCTTTAATATTTTATTTAAATAAAGTATTTAATATGACTCAGTTAAAAATCAAAGAAAGGGATACTGATAGTCTGGTTCATATAGTTACCATAAATTCAGAAACCCCTGGGTGACTGTAGCAGCAATCAGAACCAGGAAGTACAGACATCCATTGAGAGTACCCTCCCGGTATTCTAAGTGCTAGTACTGCTCACTGGAGTTGCAGGAGTGGCACTGAGAACCAGAAGGAAGCTCTCCATGGATGCCTATAGTTATTTACTCTGACAGCTGTTGCTACAGTAACCCAGAGGCCTCTGCACATGTGGTGGTGGTTTACAGGCTGTTCTGCAAACTACAGCCATAATAATTTACAACAATAAATGACTGGGTATACTATGATGAATGTCAATAATATAGGTTTGCAAACATCTGCATTTCTGCTTATGACTACCACCATGGGTGTTAAGCCAATGCTACTGTCACAAAATACCATAATACATATATTTATTTCAAAAGAAAAGTTTTTAGGATAAGCACAATAAATCTAGAATGCTTTTGGCCAAACTAGTCTGAAAGAAAATGATCACTCAACATTAAATCCAAAGAGGGCCTTCAAATGAGGGGGTAAAGGGAGTGGAGATTGTGCTGATGCTTCTATTTCAAGAAGTTGTGTGCTATGAAACACATCTCCCACAGATAAATCCATCCGTTCAGTTCTTCTGCTTGCACAGATAATACCTGAAAATTTAATTTCCAGCTTCACTTCCTTTCCCTTGTACTGACTTCCCAGTCTCCTCAATGAGAGATGCAGTAGTTGAGCACAGAAATTGTTACTGTGCTTGCTGAAGCAACAGAGATATAACAGACGTGGATGTGTTACTGGCACTAAATACTTGCCCCCCCCCCCCCTTAAGGCACATCATAACCTCATAGCCTCTCTTTTTCTCCACACCTGTTTAAAAGTACCCTGAAGCCCATTTGAAAATGTATTTTTATTATCCAACTTGGTGGAATACTATGCATTTTTTAAAAAAATTGCATGTATAATGTCCACATTCAACTTCCACCGCCTTCACCTGAACAATTCTCAATTACAGTAGTTATCTTGTAAGTTTCACATGTTATTTATATTGATATTTTATTAATTATGTTGGTCTCTGCCCTGACTGTATAAAGAAGGCCAGATCTATAGAGTTACCTGGATGAAAGTGGCAACCACTGGGAGAAACTGGAGGGCAGGGCCTGGAGTGCTGATGTCACTGCTGGTAAAAGCCAGAAGTGGTGTCTTCAGATGGTCTAACACTTACAAAATTTGTAAATGTTAGAGAATCTACTATGTCACTTCCAGTTTTTACTTCTGCCATTTCCTCCTTGCCAGGCAAAGAGCCTGGATATCAGCGTGGTGTCCTTAGTTATTAGGCAGATAAAATGGAGAACTATGTATACTGCCCCAAGCTCTCTGGAGCAGGTAGCTAAATTTGATTATTCAACAAAGTCCTCCAGAAAGCAGTGTCCCAACAGCAGATACAGTCCACCTTACATATATGCACTTTTTTACCACTAGCTTAAACTAAAGGAGCTGCGGTGGCTCAAGTGGTTAAGACACTGAACTGCAGGCTGTGGAAGGTCAGTAGTTCAGAAGTTCGAGACCCAGGGGTGCCGTATGACGGAGTGAGCTCCTGTCTCTAGTTCCAGCTCCTGCCAACCTAGCAGTTCGAAAGCAAGAAATTGCAAGTAGATAAATAGGTACCACTTCAGTGGGAAGGTAACAGCGTTCCGTGCGCCTCAGTGTTTAGTCATGCCGGCCACATGACCACGGAAACATCTTCGGACAGCACTGGCTCTTCGGCTTTGAAACGGAGATGAGCACCGCAACCCTAGAGACGGATTCGACTGGCTTTCGAGCAAGGGAACCTTTACCTTTTTACCTTAAACTATTTAACCAACTCCCTCTGTTCCTGGGACAGTCTGATCTGACCACAGCCACACATGCCTTGGAACAATTACACCAAATTATTCAATGCATTCTATGAGCGGCTGCCTTTGAAGAGGATTCAGAAGCTTCAGCTGGTCTAAAATGAGACAGCAAAAATCTTGATTGGTAATCCCCCATTTACCTACCACAAGGAATCCGATTGACAAAGTTCTTAAAATTTTATTGTCTGATAAATTCTCGGCACTTACTTTGTCTGTTGCCGAATTCTTAGCCTATGTCTGGAAGCTTAGGGTAAGGGCGTACAAGTCTTAACCCCCCTGTGTTCTTTAGAACTGTTATATTTTAACTGAGTATATTATTTACGAGAAGCTTCTAAATGACCTTTTGTTGGGGCAGCTTGGTGTAATTTGCCATGACCTATTAATTTGTGTATTTATTTTTCTAACTGTTTCACTGCCCCTCTTGTTGCTGTGTTATGCCAATAAAGGTTTATGTATGTATGTATGATTGGTAATCAGCAACCAGTACATTCTTGTGCTCTGTCAGCTGCACTGGTTGCCAATTTGTTTCTAGGCCCAATTAAAAGTGCTAGACTTAAATGACTAAGGCAGGGGTAAACAATGTGGGTGCCTGCTGACACATTTCCTGTTACCAACCAAGTGTTCTTAGAAAGTGGGCGGGGCCAGGTGGGCTTTTGGCCAGCTAGGCTTCTGACTGGCTATCAGGGATTTGATTGGCTGTGCAGATTTTAAAAAATGTTGCAATGGAAGCAGCTGCCACCACAGCACAAGGATCTTCACTGTGTGATTGAAGGTAAGCTGCAGAAGCAATTTTGCGGCTGCCTCCACCTCCTGTGGCAGCCATTTTGTGGCTGCGCCATCGTGCTGTACTAGAATTCCAAATATGTTCTCAAGTCAAAAAGGTTGGGACCCCTGGATTAAGGGATTGGGGCCTCAAAGGACTGCCTCCCCCTATATCAATCTGCCTAGGACTCAAGAGCATCATCTCGAGCCAGTTTTGTACCTTCAGTGAGGGAGGTGAGATGGGACTGTCACATTTCCAACATGGCCTCCCTGAACTCCCTGCCCCAGGAAATTCATCATGCACTCATCGCTCCTGGCAGTTTCTGAAAACTGTTCCGGATGGCTTTATTCTTAAACTTTTATGGATTTATACTGTATTTGCTTAGATTGTATTCCATCTTCATTATTTAATGACTTTCATCTGCTAATTTGGGTGCTGCTTTATTGGTGGAACATTATAAATATTTTTATTAATTGATTTTGGCAGCTATTTTAGGATTATTTTAAGCATATTTAACTTACTGTTGCCAGTGTGATTGTGTTCGGGGAATTTTTGGTGCTATATTTTGTTGCATTGATAGATTTTATTGTTCTATTGATTTATAGTGTTAGCTACCTTGCTGGCTGATTTGTTCAGCAAAAAACAGGCGGGATATAAGTGCTCTTAAATAAATAAATGTGCTGTGTTCTGCCATCTGGCAGTAAAGATGATTACTACATTTTTCAAATGCAAGATGTTGCTTGAATTGCTGATTTCCCTGCTACTGACAGAAGGAAAGAGGGAAAAAATTCCTCAAGACTCTAGGGTGAGGCAAAACCATGCATTATAAGGTTAAGTTATGGCCTTTGTGCTCAAAATATTCTAGAGTCCCACATCTCTTGGCCACATATTCTCTTCGTTCTTATCTCTGCACAAAAATATACTCTTACACAGTTACAGATGTAACACAAAATCCACTACTTTTGACACACATACACACACACATCCCATGATATTTCTACTTTTATTCTGTACCTGCCACCAATGCTCTCTCTAAGTTGTTGTAATGTATCCCGCTCCGACCGCATGCGAGGCTTGGTCTCCATGCGGTCATGAGAAGTAACCAAGCTTTGCTTACAGGAACAACGGTCCAAGCGGATCCTAGCCCGCACCAATCGGTGGGCTAGGCTCCTGGCTGAGGGCCTATGGAACTCTCGGCCACTGTAAATAACCTATCACTGGTGTAGGGGTGTGTTTGGGGTATGGGCTGTGTGCCTTTATAAACCAGCCTGCGAGCCGGTAACTTTGTCTTGTTCTACAGTGGAAATAAAGTATGAGAGGTGAAATCACTAGTAAGTCTCAGTACTTTTCAGCTGTGGAGTCTTGTGAGCAAAAATTCTACTTTGTGAGCTACTAGCATTAAAGTTGTGAGCAAGTGATTTGGCTACTGCATAAATTAGTTGGCTCTGGAGCCATCCTTTCTGAGCTAAGAGAAAAATGTATTAGCTGGAGGCTAAAAAACTGTGAGCTAGCTCACACTAACTCAGCTTAGAGGAAACACTGCCTGCCACTGCCCTGTAGATGGAAATACAGCCAATGCCATTTCATAAAAGAGCAGCCATCATAAACTGTGACATGACATTGAGAATAATATTCTCCATAAGATGAAACTTTTTGAAAATAATGATTTATCATTTTTTCATCCTGTCCTTCCTTC